TTTGAATCCAGCTAGCTTTTTTTTCAGTTTGCGTCTCATTCCTTCGCCCAGACTGGAGTGCAGGGGCATGCTCATGGTCACCCCAGTATCGACCTGCTGGTCTCTAGTGATCATTCTGCCTCAGCCTTCCAAGTAGTTGGAACTACAGGCATGTGATATGATGTCCAGATAATTTTTGATGTATTGCAGAGACAAGGTCTCATCAAGTTGCTGGACTGGTCTCAAATCGCAGGTTCAGGCAATCCACTCGCCTTGGCCTCCCAGAGTGCTGTTAGTACAGGCTGAGCCACTGTGCATGGCTTCCTTTCCCGTCTATAAGAAGCTAGCTGGAGCTGGGCTCAGTGGCTCAGCCTGTAATCCCGCGCCTTTGGGAGGCTGAGGTGGGTGGATTGCCTGAGCCCGCGGGTTCGAGACCCGCCTGGGCAGGCGATACCTCATCACTACAACAAATCAAAAAATTAGCCAGGCATGGTAGCACACACTTGTAGTCCCAGTTACTTGGAAGGCTGAGGCGGAAGGATCGCCAGAGCCCAGCAGGTCGAGGCTGCGGTGGCCGGGAGCGGCCACTGCACTCCAGTCTGGGCGACAAAGTGAGACTCCAACTCAAAAAAAAGTTAGCTGGGATTGGCTGTGAAATTGGGACCAGAGGAGGCTACTACTTTGTTCCTAAACTCTGACCTCTGGCAGACAGATGGATTTGTCTGCCATGCGTGCACATTCTGAAAACAGAAATGAGAGCGTTGGACTTTCCAATAGATTATTAAAGACAATGAAACTAAGGAGTAGCCGGGCTCGGTGGCTCAGCCTGTAATACCACACCTTGGGAGACTGAGGGGAGTGAATTGCCTGAGCTGGCGGGTTCGAGACCCGCCTGGGCAACTCGGCGAGCCCTCATCTCTACAATAAATCAAAAAATCAGCTGGGCGTGGTAGCCCATGCCTGTAGTTCTGGTTACCCGGAAGGCTGAGGCAGAAGGATTGCCGGAGCCCAGCAGGTCGAGGCTGCAGTGGCCAGGAGCGACCAGTGCACTCCAGTCTGGGCGACGGAGTGAGACTCCAACTCAAAAAAAAAAAAAAAAAAAAAAGGAAAGAAACTAAGGAGTAGATCTAGAATAGGAAATCAGGAGGTTGAATTAGTTCTCCGTAATGGGGAGAACCTACATACCACCTAACCCCAGTATGAATGGCTATGATTAATAAAACAAACAACAACAGATGCCGGCAAGGATGTGGAGAAAAAGGAACACTTCTACACTGCTGGTCGGAATGCAAACTAGTCCAACCTCTTTGGAAGATAGTGTGGCGATTTCTGAAAGAACTAGAAATTGACCTTACATATGACCCAGCAATTCCCCTATTGGGCTAATATTCCGGAGGAACTCAAATCATTCTACAAAAAAGATACCTGCACACGTATGTTTGTTGCAGCTCTATTCACAATAGCAAAAACATAGAACCAACCTTGTTGCTCATCGAAGCTGGACTGGATAAAGAAAATGTGGTACATATACACCATGGAATATTATGCAGCCATAAAGAAGGACTAACATATGGACTTCACAGCAACTTGGATGGATTTGGAGTCAGTCATACTCAGTGATCTCTCACAGGCACAAAGAACAGAGTTCCATATGTTCTCACTCATAAGTGGACCTTGAACTATTATAATACTATAAAAAAGTGTTTGGCAGTAATGGGAAGCTGTCAGGGGATGGGGGCATACCCCATAAAAAGGGTACCTGCATAATCAATGTTTGTATGCCTAACCCTGAATTGTACCCTACATCTTTATAATAAATAATAATCACAATAAAAGAAGCTAGCTGGGGCCAGACTTGGTTGCTCAGCCCGAAATCCCAGCACATTGAGAGGCTGAGGCGAGAGGAGTGGCCTGAGCCCAGGGATGTGAGACCAGCCTGGGCAACTTGGCAAGACCTCATCTCTACAATAAACCAAGAAAATTATACGAGCGTAGTGATGGATGCCTGTAGTTCCAGCTACTTTGTATGATGAGACAGAAGGATCGGCTGAACCAGCAGGTCAAGGCTGCAGTGGCTGTGAGTGTGACACTGCTCTCCAAGCTGGGCGACAGAGTGAGACTCCAACTCAAAACAAAAAACAAGCCAAAAAACCTTACTTTCTTCTGGGCTGCAATCTTGCTTCATTCCCGCGGCACTGGCCCACCTTGCCTCAGTTTACCTATTCAGTTATAAAATCTGAAACTCAAAATAATTGTCAGCATACTGCTTCCATTGGTGAATAACATACCTATATGTGCTGTCTGGACATTATTCATAAATGAATATAATATCATAAACAATGTCAAACAAATGTCACCATTCATGACCCGGTGCTGGTGCAGGGACTCTTAGTTTCAAAATGCTGTATTTAAAAACCTACTTTTGAGCTGGGCTCGGTGGCTCAGCCTGTAATCCCACGCCTTTGGGGAGACCTCATGTCTACAATAAATTGTTCGAAAAATTAGCTGGGTGTAGTAGCATGTGCCTGTAGTTCCAGAGACTTTGATGGCTGAGATGGAAGGATCGTCTGAGCCCAGCAGGTCAAGGCTGTGGTGGCCATGCCTGGGCAACAGAGTGAGACTGAAATTCAAAAAAATTTTAAATTAGCCCGGCTCGGTGGCTCAGCCTGTAATCCCGCGCCTTTGGGAGGCTGAGGTGAGTAGATTGCCTGAGGTCGCGGGTTCGAGACCCACCTGGGCAACTTGGCGAGACCTCATCTCTACAATAAATCAAAAAATCAGCCAGGCATGGTAGCACATGCCTGTAATTCCAGCTACTTGGAAGGCTGAAGGCTGGGGCGGAAGCATCGCTGGAGCCCAGCAGGTCAAGGTTAAGGTGGCCGGGAGCAGCCACTGCACTCCAGCCTGGGCGACAGAGTGAGACTCCAACTCAAAAAAAAAAAAGTAAGAAGATGTGAGGCAGTGGTCTACCCGTGAACGCTTCTGCCTGTAGCTCCTACTTTCTCTCAGACATCTTCTCTCCCACCCTTGGTACCCAGGAGAAATGGTGGAGGAATGGGGTGTTCCTCTAACTCTGGCAGAAAAGAATGGCTCAGGCCCTTTGCCTCTGAGATCAGGGGAGCAGTATCCCAACTGCACGTTAACGTGGCAGCCATAGACAGCTTGGACCTACTGAGTAGCTGGAGAAAAGATGAGCTAGAGGGAGACATATTGGAAACTCAATATACTGTGATTTTAAGACCAACCCCTTGGGGTTCCCTTCCACTGTGGGAGCTTTACTGTCCTTTCAATGAATCCTAAAAAATATACATATATATGTATATATATAGTGATTTCCAAAGATATTGTTCCCAATAGAAATTTCATTAATAATTTCTATTGGTTACATATTAAAAGGATAATATTTTGCGTATGTTGGATTAAGTAAATTATCACAATTAATTTCATTTCTTCTTTTTCCTTTTTTGCTACAACATTTTAAATGACAGAAGAATGCCATTTTCTTTTTATCCAACATTGCTGCTAGAGAGGACTGACTCCATTTTTAAAGCTCAGGCTGCTTCATCATAACACCAAAGGCCTGAAAGGTCATAAAATTTGAAACTTAACATAATTGTCTATATATTGTTTCCATTTGTGAATGACATGTACCTCTACGAGCTGTATAAATATATATATTTGATTTTTTTTTTTTTTTTTTGAGTTGGAGTCTCACTCTGTCACCCAGACTGGAGTGCAGTGGCCGCTCCCGGGCACTGCAGCCTTGACTTGCTGGACTCCAGCGATCCTTCTGCCTCAGCCTTCCAAATAGCTGGAACTACAGGCGAACACTAATTTTTTTATTTATTGTAGAGATAAGGTCTTGCTAAGTTGCCCAGGCAAATCTCCAACCCCCGGGTTCAGGCAATCCACTCACCTCAGCCTCTGGATAGAACGTTTTCAATGACAGAAGAATGCCATTTTCTTTTTATCCAACATTGCTGCTACAGAGGACTGACTCCCTTTTTAAAGCTCAGGCCGCCTCGTCATACACTAAAGCCCTGAAACGTCATAAAAGTTGAAACTTAACCTAATTGTCTATATATTGTTTCCATTTGTGAATGACATACACCTGTACGAGCTATGTACATACATGTATAAATATATATATCTGATTTTCTTTTTTTTTTGAGTTGGAGCCTCACTCTGTCACCTAGACTGGAGTGCAGTGGCCGCTCCCGGGCACTGCAGCCTCAACTTGCTGGGTTCCAGCGATCCTTCTGCCTCAGCCTTTCAAGTAGCAGAACCTCAGGCACTGGCTACCACGCCCAGCTAATTGTTTTTGATTTATTGTAGAGATGAGGTCTCAAGAAGTTGCCCAGGCGGGTCTGGAACCCGCGGGCTCAGGCAATTCACTCACTTCGGCCTTCCAAAGCGCGAGATTACAGGCTGAGCCAACGAGCCCGGCCTATATATTTGATTTATTGCAGAGACGAGGGCTCACCCAGTTGTCCAGGCTGGTCTCGAACCCCTGAATTCATGCAATCCTCTCACCTCGGCCTTTCAAAGTACTGGGTTTACAGGCTAGAGCCACCACGCCAGGCCGAGCTGTATAAACAGTATTCATCAATGGATATATTATTACAAACCATGTTATAAGCAAATGGCCTCCGTCCTGACCAGGTGCTGGTGCAGGGAAGAATGCCAGCCTCAAAATGCTGCACGCAAAATCCTGACTTTCTTGCCTGACGCAGCCCCCATTGAACGCTGTTTCTGTGACTCAAGTGGGGGGGGCGGGGCGGACCTGGAGCCTCATCCAATCAGCGCACGCTGATGTCTGAGCCAGTCAATCAGGTGCTAGCCGGAAGTGAGGGGGCGGATTATGGGCCGTGACCGACACTGTCTTCCGCGCCTGCGCACAAGTCCGGGTGGGCCCCCGCTGCTCTGTTGCGCTGTACTGGAGGTCTCGGCGGCTCTGTCGCAGGCTCTGTCGCAGCCTCTGTCGCCCTGCGGCCTGCAGGTCCTGGAAATCTGTAGCCGGGGACGCCGAGACACTTGGAAGCCGGGAGATGGTGAGTGTGCGGGCGGATGTCCGAGCGGGACGGGGTGGGAGACCCGGATGACCCGGCTGCGGCGGGTCACGGGGTGGGCCTGGGCCGTGACCCCGGCGTCTGGTCCCAGCGGCGACCTCACCCGCTGAGCCTTTTCCACACAGCCCCGCTCTCCAGGTGTTCGTGACCCGAGAAGGTCGTGGGGAGGATCCGACCCCCATTTGGGCCCGTGGTGGGGGTGCTTTGGTTCTGGCCCCGTCCCTGTCTCTTCCCCGAGGTTAAACGGATGCTCCGTCAAAGAATTAACGAGTCCCCTTGGGCCAACGGCGGATCGTGAATCCCGAAGCCCCAAACAGGGCTTGATTGGGGTCCCCGGAGGGCCTGGGGGGAAAGACTTGGAGGAGGGGCTGGTGGGTGACAGCCCCGCAGTCGCCTGATCGGGAATATCCAGGTGGAAATCTCCGGGGCGTGTCATCATCGGGGTCACTGGCCGTTCGTGTCCCCAGGTCCAAACCTGGTTCTGCTCGACAGGACACCAAAGTCAAGGTTTTGGAGCAGGTGTGTCACAGTGAGGTTACTTGGGGAGCCCTTCAAACCGAGAAGATGAGGCGCCCGGCGTCCTCAAGACCCCTCTTGGGTCGTGTGGGCTCTTTTTGGTTTTTACCCAGGCTGTGAGGACAAAGGGGGCCGAGATCAATAGGTGGCTTCGAACTGCAGACATCTAGGGCCCAGGAGGAGTCCTGGAAAGTCGTGAAGTCTTTTGTTCTTGGTTCCTGGCCTCCTTGTTCCTTCAATTATTTAAGAAAAGTGTTAGTGCACATGCTCCCCTTCCCCAGTGTTAGTGTGGACGGCCGCATACTTGTTCCTACCTTTTCAGAGTTTCAAAATTATTCTTATTATTATTGTTATTTTGAGTTGGAGTCTTAGTCTGTTGCCCAGGGTAGAGTGCAGTGGCCACCACAGCCTCGACCTGCTGGGCTAAGGCGATCCTTTCACCTCAGCCTTCCAAGTAGCTGGAACTACAGGCACACACCACCATGCCCGACTACTTTTTTTTGATTTATTGTAGAGACGAGGTCTCCACGTTGCCCAGGCTGATGGTGAACTCATGGGCTCAGGCAATCCTCTCACCTGGGCCTCCCAAAGTGCTGGGATTATAGACATGAACCACTGTGCCTGGCAAAAATGATTTCGCTTATTTTATTTAAGCTTATAATTATTTTATTTGGTAGCACGAATCAGCGGGAGAGACACCCCCCCAGTCCCAGTCTAAAATGTAACCAACGAGCACCTGCACGTGGCTAGCTTCCCATTGCCCCTTCTCAAAGCCTTTCCTCCCAGTCCCTTCAGGGACACTAGGCCACAAACCCTGACTGGAGTTTCTGATTCCACGACCCCCTGTTGGTCCGAAGGAACTCCTTAACGTTGTGAGGGAGAAAAGAATAGTTCAGGCCCTTCACCTCTCTGAGATCAGGGGTGTAAGAGGCCTCCCATCTGCATGTGTTTTTGTTTTTGTGTTTGTTTGGTTTTTTTTTGAGTTGGAGTCTTACTGTGTCGCCCAAGCTGGAATGCATTGGCATGCTGCTCAAGGCCAGCGCAGCTTTGACCTGCTGGTTTCAGGTGATCCTTCCATCTTTGCCTTCCAAGTAGCTGGACCAACAGCCATGCACCACTACACCCAGCTAATTTTTTTGGCTTATTGCAGAGATGAGGTCTCACCAAGTTGCCCAGGCTGGTCTCAAACCCGTGGACTAAGGCAGTCCTCTCACCTCGGTCTCCCAAAGTGCTGTTATTATAGACATGAACCACCGTGCCTGGCCTCCAACTGCATATTAAGGTGGCAGCCTTAGGCAGCATGGGCCTATTGAGCAGTTGGAAATAAGCTGAGAAGGATGGATCCTTTCAGCCTGGGAGGTCAAGGTGATGAGCCAGGATTGTGCCACTGTGCTCCAGCATGGGTGACAGAGTGAGCCAAAACTTAAAAAAGAAAAAAAAAAAAAAGCAGAAACTTAGGCTTTTCTCCAGATCTCCTAAATAAGAATTTGCTTTTTTTTTTTTTTTTTTGAGTTGGAGTCTCACACCCTCACCCAGGCTGGAGTGCAGTGGCATGCTCACAGCCACCCCAGCCTAGACCTTCTGGGCTGAGGCAATCCTTCTACCTCAGACTTCCAAGTAGGTGGAACTACAGGCTTGTGCCATCATGCCCAGCTAATTTTTTTTTTTAATTGAAGAGACAGAGTCTCACAAAGTTGCCCATGCTGACCTTTGAACCCCTGGGCTCAGGCAATCCTCTTACCTCGGCCTCCCAAAGTGCTAGGGTTATAGGTTTGAGCCACTCCACCAATCCCAGAATTTGCATTTTAACACTCTCCAATTCGTTGTTCACATTAAAACTTAAAGGAGACCATCTGGGCTCGGTGGCTCAGCCTGTAATCCTGCGCCTTTGGGAGGCTGAGGTGCGTGGATTGCC